CATTAGCATTCATGGAGAGGAGACATGAGCTCAGACTTGAAGAGCTTGTCTATAATATATGCCAGATTCTGAGTAACCAATTATGAGAAAAATGTGCGGAAATCAAAACCAAAGTTTTGGAATGGTGTGCTGCCTGGCTGGCAATTCTTATCTCATGCGTTCATGTTCTGGGGTTGCCGCACTGGGTATGTTTCCTCCCCTCAAAGAGCAGCTGTAAGAGCATAATGATGAGTACCTCTGCTCCTCCACGTGTGTGGAGCAGCCTGGGGCCCAGGTATCAGCCCCCACACCCGGTAGACTCCTAATCTGCACCTTTTACCGAGGTGAAGCCCTGCATGGAGCTGGAGCCACCCGCTCCTCCAAGGCAGGAGCAGAGAGGCACAGACTTATAGGCAGGCTTGCGTTTTAACACTGATTTAAACAAGGCAATATAACATCTGTGTGCTGCGCATGAGTGACCAGGGTTTTCATTGGTTCACTCACAGTTCAGTTCTGAGGTTGTTTTCTCCTGGAGCTTATTCTCCTATGTCCAGTGGCAACCATTAGCATGAATTTGGTGTTTATTCTGCCAGTTAAATGTGTTTCTTAAATAAAATCTTATAGCTGGAAGCTAGGTTAGGGTCTAATTTTATTATTATTTTAAAAGGATGACATTAAAGCCTGGAGGACTTGGATCCTCTAAAGTTGTCTTTCCTTTCTGTACCCTGTACTTTATTTGATTTGATTTGATTTGGTCTTTTTGGTGTTGTTGTTTTTTGAGACAAGGTCTCGCTATACAGTTCAGGCTGGCCTTGAGCTCACTTTGTAGCCTGAGCTGGTGTCGAACTCACAATGTGATCCTCCTTGCCCTGTGCTTTATTAAGTTCAACCTAAAGATGAGTATAATAAACCCTAACCCACTGTGAATATATTCAGTAGCTACTATTTGCTAATTTATAGATATTAAAAAAAAAAGAGAAAGTAGTGAGGAAAGTAAGGAAGCAAGCAAAAAGTGGCAGAGTTTAACTTCTCTTATCAAAAATGTGATATTTATACATGTAAAATGGAAAAAGGTACAAGATGGTAGAAGAGGGGAGCTTTTTTCGCTTTCCTCTACCCTGTTGAGTTCATTATCTGGAGCTCTTTAGATTCGAAAGACGAAGGACAGATTAACAAGAGGAAAACAAGCAGAAGTGTATTAGCATGTGCAGCACACACACACAGGAGCACTCCGTGATGTGGAACTCGGTGGGGCAGAGGTACTGTGAGCTTGTGCAGCGTCCTAACAAGAGAACAGTACATTTGCAGACAGTGTGATGAGACAAAGGGGAAAGGCTTTGGGTTTCTAGGGTACCAATCATGGGACAACGACTACACAGAACTACTGCAGGATGAGGGCTACACCGATTCATTATGTGGCGTCTTCTGGTACCGCCCCTGGACTGGACTCTCGTGTTGTCTCCAGTGATTAACTCTGTGCTCCTTGGTAAAGAGAAGAGGGCACAACTTTAAAAATTTATGTTTTGCTTTTAGGTGAATAAGGAGGGGGCAGAGAGCTTTGCTTGTATCAGCTTTTCTCGTTTGTCAGTGGCTTTGAGCTCAAATAATATGCAAAAGTGGCGTATTTGGGGGTGCTGTCTTCTCCTCCAGGAGAATAGAGTTGCAGGTTAAATTCCACATGACCGGAGCCAAGTATAGGAGAGTGAGAAGGTACTGTGTACTAGCTGGAAGGGGAGAATCAGGACAGACTGGTTATTGGAAATTTTACGGGTAGAGACCAGCTTTTCTTGGGCTGTTGGGAAAGGGTTGATTTGAGAGCCTGAGACAGAGTGAAGAGGAGGAAGTGGAGAGTTAGGGCCAAGAGGAGTGGAAGGCTAGGGTGTAATTGGTGGAGGAGACAGCTTGTGGCAGGGCTGTGTGGATCAGCTGGAGGAATTTTCACCCATCAAACCGGTAATTATCTAATTTTTCAATCAGAACAGCTACTAAATGGTGATTGTTTAGGAAAGGCAGTGAGTATGTAAATTTGTAAAAAAAATATTCGGAGGGGACTTTTCCTCAAAAGACTTAATGGGTTTTTTTTTTTGGTCCTTTTGAGACAAGGTCTTACTGTGCAGTTCAGGCTGGCCGTGAGCTCACTTTGTATCTCAGGCTGGTCTCGATGATCCTCCTGCCTCAGCCTCCCAAGAGCTGGGATTACAGGTGTGCGTCACCATGCTCAGCACAAAAGACTTAATTATATATGTTCATTAACCGAGAAAATAGCTGTGAGGTTTATAACAGAAAAAGAGTAAATAAATTCCCTGAAAGGCCATTGGATTATGTATAGTCTATATTTAAAAGTGTTATGCTCACAGTTAAATATATGCTATGATCATAGTAAATGCAAAAGTAAACAGCATCTCACATGGAAAACCAAACATACATGTTTTTTGGTTAAAAATCTATGCACATAGGAAAAAAAGACTGGGAAAAATGTATCAATAACTGGTAAGTATGATATTTCATAGGTAGAAGTACATCTTAAATTTATTTTGTTCTTTTTACTTGTTCATATTTTTGGAAGTTCCTTTCAATGAACATGTTTGCTTTTCTAGTAGGGAAGAAAATGATAAAAATCACACACCATAACAGTTATGCAACTGAACAATTATTTGTTCAAAAAATCTGAAGTTACATTGGTCCAGAAAATCGATGACATTTTTATTAAGAAAAGAGGTTAATTATACTTGTTCTAAAGTAAGGTGTAAGGTTACAGTCATCAAAATTCCTAAATGATTATGTGACTGAGAAAGAAAACAAACAGTCCTATACTTGCAAGAGGTAGAGAATAACTTAAGAGTTTTCAGGAGTCGAGATTCAAAGTGCACAAATTCCTTTTAGAAAACTATGCCACCAAGAGCACTTCTACAAAGAAACATTCTCATTGTTCAGACAATGTATCTGAAGGGCACACTGAGGTCGTTTGGCTTCTATCTTTGACACACTGCTTCTCAAACCTTCATTTCTTGCTTAAAATGGAGCACATGCAAGGAAAAACCAAAAACACAGTAGTGTTCATTTCTGGAGACCAGGCCTGTCTCAGTTTTTTAGAGTGGGGAATGAGGCACTGAGAGTTTTTCTCTAGCCTTACAATTCTCTGGTTCTGTTACTGTAACAAAAGTTGATATGCAAATTTCCATGTTCCATGCAGGATCAACCTAAATGAATGTACAGTTTTATCTTCACTTTTTACCAAAGGTTGTGTTTTGGAGCCAGTGAAAAATTACTATAGGGCTGACGAACAATCTTAATAGAAATAGGTACTCTACTTAGTTGACAGCACTTCATAACTGTAAAAGCATACATACATAATAGAATTAATTAGCTCTTTCCCATTGGTGTGTGTGTGTGTGTGTGTGTGTGTGTCTGCATGCAGAATTAAATGCTGTAGAATAGCTTAAATGACAGAGGCCACTGAAGGGTGACAGCTGGCTCTGGTCATAGAGCCAGGTCACAGTGTGTTAGGAACCCTGGGTAGAAAAGCATAAAAGACTGGTGCATCAGTTCCTCTTTTTAATATATGAAAAGCACACAAACTAAAGAGAGAGGGCTCTGGAAGGACAAATGTCCATGCTGCATCACGATTCAGGTGAACGACTGGCTTAGCCCTTTGGAGCTAGAATCCAAAGGAAGAAAAGGGAGCACAGTGATTCCCACAGAATGTCTGCCTCGCTCCTGGTAACACGGTCAAGAAAACTGTTGTAACTTTTCCTAAAATGCAAAGCACTGTTCTTTCTTGTTTCATTACATAGCATATATTTAAATGAAACCTAGAAATTTTAAGCCCTGAACACTTGCTTTTGAAATTATAATCCTTTGTGGCTTAGATGCGAGACAGAATCAGGCAATTTTCTTAGAAGTTAAGCTCTCTACAGCATTTGGACTTAGTTGGGGTCTGGATGACAGGAAGGGCAGGCAAAAGGTGTTTTCAACTGCGATTGGGCCAGCAGTCAAATGAGATGGTGTTATGGTTTGTCTGTATGTCCCCTCAAAGCCTCATGTGGCCATGAGGCAGGCTTTTAGAGTCAATTGATTATGGGTGTGAGAGCTACACCCACCCTGGGGTGGATAGTTTGCATATGTAAGGGAGAGGGAAAGAGTGCTTGAGGCCATTCCTCCCCCATTCCTCGCTGGTGTATGCTTGTTGCTTAGCTGTGTTCTGCGCCATGAGCTGCAGCCCTCTGCCATGTGCCACTCTGCCTTGTAATCTGCCAAGTAAGGACTGAAACTGCCACAAACTGTAAGCAAAATAAACCTTTCCTTTCTTAATTTTGGGCATCAGGTATTTTATCCCAGCAACGAGAAAAAAGTAACTAAGACAGATGGCATGTGATAGCTATTAGTATTCTTTTTCGTTTGTTTGTTTGTTTTTGGTTTTTCTCCGGTACCGGGAATCGAACTCACAACTTTGCGCTTACCAGGCAGGTGCTGTGCTGCTGAGCTAAATCCCCAGCCCAGCTATTAGTATTTTTATGTCTACTGTGTTACTGCCCCCTGCCATCCTAATTCCTGGTCTCACAATGGGTTAGTTTTGTTTTAACTGATTTGGAATACATTTTTAAGATTTCTAGTATTAAGAAATGGAGAGGAAAAGGCCATAAATTTATTTTTTTGGCCAGATTGTTTTCCTCATAGCAGAGACTAAGCAAAAAATGAAGATAGTAAAGTCTCTCCCAACCTCTTCCATGCCACGCATGCAGATCTCTCTGGAAGATCCAGCCCAAAAGCATCGTGTCTGGATGTGTGCAGAGACCCGCACAAAGTGGGGGGAAAATACACAACCTAGATAGATTCCAAGGATGTATGATGTAGAGGAAGAGCATCGTTTCCTTAGCTTTCATTTGAAATAGTCAGTATCAGAGTGTTAAAGGGTGACAACAATGCTGAACTCTTCCTTACATGTTCCCCAAGAAAAGTAGCTTTTTTGACTTGGTATTATAAAAAACAAAAATGTGACTTATGTGTATGTGTGTGTGTAGTTCAGTGTCCTTGCAGGCCAGGATGAAGGAAATGAGCCCTCCGAGCCTCTCTGGACTGAAGGCTTGGCCACCACTGCCTCCTCCAAGGTTGACACCACTCTTGGGCCAACCCATAGCACCTCTGTGGACATGAGAACCAGGACTCCCATTCCTGTTTGGACATCAGAGGTGGAAAATTTGCTGCACAAAGGTAAGAAATATCTCCCAACCAGCTGCCGTATGTCCTGGGGGGGGCGGGGGGAAGGCACGGGAATGATGATCTCTTAAATCTCACCCACTATGGTTGGAAACAGGGAAGACAAAAGATACTTTTCATTGACATATGTGGAATCTGAAACTGGCTGTCTATAGAATATATTCGATAATACATATTTAAAATTCTTCTTTTGATCTGAATACCTTTAGGGAAGATTGTGCTGTCCCATTTGCCATAATCCCAGCTGTTCCCTATTGTCATAAACATGCCCTTCACTTTATGATGTAAAAAAAGAAAAAGCTGAAATTTACATTCTGATTCTATTAGCATGTTTTCCATGGAACTAATGCATATAGAAAAGACATCATTAGATACATGTATTTTGCAAAATATGTAAAAGAGATAATATCCATGTCCTCAAGAACCTTAGAGCATCTTGTAAATGAGTCACACAATAGACCTTATTTAGTTTGTCTTCAAGAACAGAAGTAATAGAAGTCTGTTCCTTTCCATTTTCTTAAAGAGGCTTTGTAGGAGATGTGGATTTAGTTTTGAAAATGATTAATCATTATCAATCATAATCCATACTGGTAATATCAACACACATTGATATTTAGCATAATCATTGATAAATGATTCAAGATATACTCTAAATCAATGGAGAAAAGGGTGGTTTTGCTATAGAGAAATAAAACTTATGATATATAAACTATCTCACAAATAAAAGCCCTAGACAGCAATTATCTATTTGGTCTTTTGTTCTGGAAATTTTCACATTGGAATTTCATCTTCATGTAGGAAATAGGAATCAAGGCAATGTGGCATATTGTCTTATAAAAATGGATTTACTAAATGAGAAACTCTGTGATTAAAAGAAACTTATTGGTACAGTTTGGTTCTCTTTTGCTTTCTTATAGTAGATGCATTTCTGAAATGTATTTGTTAACTGACAGTAGAAATTATATCATATTTTTAGCATCCTGTAAGAGATGTCCTTTCATAAAGAATTGTGATATAGAGAACTCATTTTATTTTTTCAGTTATTTAGAGGGCTTCCTCTTTTAAGAGCTACACTGTGATCATAGTGGTGTTCTTTATGAATATACTAGAAGGGAACGCATCCCAGAAGGCTGAGGTCATTGTTCCTCCACCTATTAAGCTGATTTTAAATAAAACTCAAAGTAGATGAAAGCAATCCTATCTTTCTTCTGTCAGTTAATCCCTGCAAAAATATTAGTCAATGAAGTTCTATAACACTTTCAGGAAAACGTGCATTTTTAATGGTGTTTCATGAAGCTCAAAAGATTTTGTTTCCAAAGGAATGAATATCTAGTAGTAGAGTTCCAGGTGGTGGGCAGAATATTTTGGGTGTTATTGAGTTCCTTACTAGTTTTCTTCATTGCACTGTTGGTGTGCATAGGGAATAATTTACTTATGTAAAGTCATGGGGCTGTTACAGTTCATTACTTCAGTAAAAGGAAAACCCTGGTGATGCTGTACATCTTTTTCTCACTCTAGATCAGAGGTGTTTGGAACCCTTGAAGCCCGGGAACTGCGGTGACTACGTGGTTCGATGGTATTACGACAAACAGGTCAATTCCTGTGCCCGCTTTTGGTTCAGTGGCTGTAACGGCTCAGGGAATCGCTTCAACAGTGAAAAGGAATGTCAAGATGTCTGCATTAAAGCATGACCAAGTAGACTTACCTGTCTTGATCAAAAGTCCAGAAAGAACACAGTACAAATGAAGCAGCATGTTGGGGTAGTTACTAAGTATTTATAATTTACAGGTGTTATTCAAACTTCATGCCCATCCTAGGATATAGATAAACTTACTGCTTACATAGATTAGAAAGCTAAGAATCTGATAATTTTAGTAGCTTATCAACTATCACCCAACTGAAAGGTGGTAGAGCTGAGGATTTGGACTGAGGCGTGTTTAACTTCAGTAACAGCTCTGTTCCACAATGTGTGGTATGATTCTGATGCCTGTTACTTCCTGTTATTCATATCATATTGGGTCATATCCCACCCTGCACCGGCCCCCATTCCCCTACTTGCACCCGGTCAGTAGCATATGGTGGAGGAAGACTTAGGTTTAAAACTCGAAGGGCCACGTATATGCATGAGTGCTGAGTTAGGGGTGGGGATAGTGAGGGTAGATTTTTGCCACAGTTGCCCTAAAAGCGATAGTAGAGAGAAACCAAGCTGAATCACTTAAGCCAAATGCATTTTACACTGCCCCTTCCCTCTCTGCCAGTATGGTTGGTAACAAAACCATTCCTGTGATTAAACTTTATATTTAAATAAAACAACTTTTTATGTCCATACTTCAAAATATGTGAGTGGGACTTCTCAGTTTGCTGGAGATAGAATTAGAAGCCTATTGTCAGCCAAGAGCCGTAGAAACCCCACATCCACTCTTGAGCGAGGTATTGTAAAGATAGGACTGACGCTGGAAAGTGAGCTTCCGAATGGAAAAGAGTAATGGAAGTCACGGAGGACTGGGGCTGTCGTTTTATAATAATTTTGTGATATCAGCTGAGCTCAGACAGCATTTGTATAGATCAACTCACAACACACTTTCTCCTTCCAGGCTTGTGGCCTCATACAAGGTCACCTCTTTAAAGAAGTGTTTATGGAATAGCAATCTTGGCAAAAATAATACTGTAATTTTATGTTGAAACTAAATTTTTTAATGTAATATTTAACATGACAAAAGAATGCATGCAACATGATTGTATTTTAGAAACGTGAGAATGAGAAACGCCAGTGAACGCATCACCTAGAGAACGAAACAAACATTACTGATTCGATCCCAGCTCCTGTGTGGCCTCTTCCACCACGACCCCTGCTCCAGGCCAGCGACGTTCCAGCCTGCACTCTGTTGGTCTGGGTTCTTACGTGTAAAACTACGTTTCATTCCTGTGGATCACTAAACAGTAGATGTTTAGTGTTGTTTATTTTAGAGCTCTGTAAAAATGGTGCTTTACTGAAGTATTCTGCAACTTGCTGTTTTCATCCAATAACATAAATAAACCATGTGTTTTCCCACATGTGAATGCATTCCTAAACAGTTTAGTAGGTTTTTGAGCTTTAGAGAATTTGTGTCAGAATTTGCTAGATGATTAAATTATTGTTCATATGTATTTACTTTCATAGTTGTATAATATTTGTGTGAATATACACAAGACATTTAATCATTACCATGATCAATATCTTTTTTTACTGTTTTACCTGTGTTGTGATGAGTACTTTGACTCACATGGCTAGAGGGTACACACTTTCATGTCTCCCTGGGGTCTATACCCAAAAGTAACTTCTGGGCTTCAGGGTATGTAAATATTTGAAACTAGTATACAGTACGCATGCTGATTTTGTCTCCAAAGTGTTTGAACCAACTTATTATAAATTTTCACCAGTTGTGCAGAAGAGTTACTGCTGCTTGATGTTCTGGTCAATACTTTTTGTTATTAGACTTCTTCATTTTGCCAAAATGAGTGTAGAATGGTGTCTTGTTTTAATATAGCACTCTCAGGGGACAACTCACCATTCTCATTTCCAGCTGGGCTATGCTCCTATGAAATACCTGTTTATAACTGCAGACCATTTTTTATTTTGATGTTTCCCTTGTCGAAACCTCAGAGTTCTTATGTATTACGGATTCTCTTTGCTTGGTATTTATGTTGTGTCTTTTTGCCTTCCCACCCCTCTTTTTCCTTCCTCCCTCTCGTCCTTTCTGTTGAACTGTCTACTTTTAATGGCTAGAGCTTTTTGTTCCTCGTTTATGTTGTCAGCTTCCTTCTCAGCTACCTTTCTTGGAAGGGAAGCTTCCCCAGGATCAAAATCACCGTGAGTACTGATGTTACCTCCCATCGCTGTGCCTGGTAATTCCTTACTATCCTGTTAGTGATAGTGATGTCTAGTCAATAGTCAGTGATTTCTAGATGATTTTTAAAATTTTGCTCAACTTCCTTTTTATTATCCTTGGCTTGAAAGTATGAGTATTATAAAAAGGTCTCTATTTTTGTTGTTGTTGCTGTGGGATAAAGGGCTTTGAGTGTCATTTTATTTGCTGTAATCCCTGCAATGCGTATGTACTATGTATTAGTTACCATACCTTGCTGGACTGTAGAAAGACCCGTCAGACTATCTAGGCTCCTATGCTGATAGGAGCAGAAATATTAATATTACTTTTTAAAGCTTTCCATAACTTTACCTTCCCACTCCTCAGAAAAACTGATACACAAAATGTTATAATGCTGATTTGGGTATTTGTCCCTTTGAAACATCCTTTTTCTACTTCTGGTGACTCACCAAGTCCTAGTATCTCAAGGACACTTAGAAGCCCTCTTCCTTCATGCTGCCTTCTCAGCCCTGTCACTCGTGTCCAACACTGAGGACCCAAAGCTTGGCTTTGTCTCCATTCCACACACTGACCACAAGCTGAGCTGCTTTGCACTTCATAGAGGAGATGCCTGCATTCATTTTCTTTGCTGTTATAACAAAGCACCACAGATTTGATGGCCTGGATAACAAAATATATTATCTTTGAGTTCCATAGGTCAGAAGTTTGATGTTGGTCCCACAGGGCTAAAATCAAGATATCCATGGGCCTGTGTTTTTTTCTAGAGCACCTGGGAGAAAATCCATTTCCCTGTTTTTGTAGCACCTGAAGACCACTCACATTCCTTGGCTTGTGGCCCCTTTCTCTGTTTTAAAAGCCAACAACAGCAGGACAAGTGCTGCTTCCTCTGATGCTTCTGTCCTGTGATTCTCTGACTGCAGTCTGGAAAGGTTCTTTGCTTTTAAGGACTCATGTAATAAGGTGGGGCCCACTCAAGTAATCCAGGATAAACCTCCTTCCTCTAGGTCATTCTCTTACTTCAAGGTGTGACTTTGCTTTTGCCACATAAGATAGCATATTCACAGGTTTTGGGGATTAGGAAGTGGGCATTTTGGGGTCTATTATATTGCCTATCTTTCTATCTCTTTTAGGTCTATTATATCACCTTTCTTTCTTTCTTTCTTTCTCTATTTCTACCTGCTATCTGAGCTATTCAAGAACAAAGAAATCCATGCCTCATCTCTCTCTGTGACATCAAGTCCTTACACATATGAATAACTCAATCAACTTAAAAACAAACTGAACTAGTTTCATTTATTTTTAGAGTTAAAGTTGAGCACCATCGTGAGAAAAGAGTGTACAAAAACAGCCTTCTTATACCCTAGGCTTTTGTACTCATCCTAGCAGACTGGGCCTCTCCTCATAGTGTAAGAGGTAAAATTCACCACCTATACATGAGAAATCAGACTACTTTAGCTTTATTTTTTATTATCTGCTTGTACAAAAAAAAACATTTAATGGTGTCTTAATTCCTTTTTTTGGTTACTGAGACAAAATACCTGACACTCAATGTTTATTTGGTTCACAGTTTGTAGAGGTTTCAGTTCATAGTTGGCTGGCTGCAAAGAAGGGAGGCATAGCAGAGAAGAAACAGTTCATGGCAGGCAGAAGGCAGAAGGCAGAAGGCACTAAGTCAGTAAGGCAGCAAGCAGTGAAGTAGTTGTCCATTTTATCGTATTTCAGCTATACGCCCTTGGGCAGGTAGCACTCACACCCAGCTTGGGCCTTCCTATTATCCACACCCAGGACTATACTAAACCAACCAGTGAACTAATTTAGTAATCATGCATCCTTAAACCCAAGATCACACAACTTAAACCTAGGAATCACACAACTTAATCCCAGCATCATGCATCCTAGATCCTGCCACTTCTGAAAAGCTCCACCAATGACCACATGAGGCTTTGTGGGGGCATCTAGACAAAAGCCATAACAAATGGTTAGCAGGCCAACTGTTCCTAAGTATATCGATCCAGTTTAGATAGACAGATGTGGTCTTTAAGTCCACATTTCTATATTGGATGACTCCCTGGAAATCGGTTTTCTTTTCTAGGTTTGAAAAGGATCCGAGTTTCTGGTCAGCTGGGTGACTAGTGCACTGTGCCTCAAGTGAGAGGATGAGATTACCTCTCTATCAGGAAGTATGGGGCTCCAATAGGGCCAGCAGTCACCCAGCAGGAAACACTCCGGCCACAGGTGGCATCTGGTCAAGAAGCTACTTATTCCATCTCTAAGTGCTTTGAGTGAATTCAAGGTTGAAAATCACACACCAAGTCATAGAAGGTAGAGGACATTATTAAGGTAACAGTTCCAACAAGTCCACACACAAAGCTCTGATCCTACTGTCCCTGACACCCTTCAGGATGGCCTAGTCCTGTCTACTGTTTCTCCGCAGCAAGTGTCCAGCATCCAGAAGCCTACAGCAACCTTTGTCCTCACAAGTTGGGGAAGCCCCAACTAAGGAACTTCATGGCAACTTCAAAGCCAAGGAAACATGCTGTGTTGGTCGGAAAGACTGAGATCATCCCTGTGATGAACCTTCCACATAAGGATGTGATTTCTTCCCTCTAAATCAGCTCTCTCAGCACATCTCTAAAACCATATTTTTCCAGAGGAGCAGCATAAAAGTAGGACTGGAGCACGTCTGTGGGGATTACCACAGCCTACTTGAAAGTCTCTGCCATTCCCCCAGCTACCAAGATTTGAGAAGTGCCGAGATCACTGACACTATGTATCTCTGCAGTGAAAATATTTTTCAACATCTCTCATGAGGTGAGCACAGTCCATTTGTAGACGCCTCGGATCCCAGATTCCCAGTGCAGCATTTTGCATAGTCCAAGGTTCCAGGGGGCTTGGTTTCCTCCGAAGAAGCCTGCGTCTGTCATAGGCACTTTCTCCTTTCTCTAGGGGTCATGATTCCTGTGGTAAAAACACCAGGCAACATTCCGGCAGCAGACATTTGGGGGTAACTGAGCACATCCTCTGGGGATTTCTGCTGTAGTTGCTCTCCCAAACCAAACCCAAAGAAGCACAGAGCAAATATGGGGGTGACCGCAATGATAGGGGCAGCCACACCTCTGTGCAGTCCTCTGACCTGTGATGCCATCTCTAATAAGAGTCTTTTGGAAATAGTCAATGATCCCTCAGTGCATGAGAGGCTGTGCAGGCAAATTTGGTGGCTGTATGTGCATTTGGACCTCAAACAGGCAGGCAGGAATTACTTCTAACTCTTGGGAGGATCAGCCTTTTGTTCTACTCAAGCTTTCAATGGATTGGATGAGGCCCACACTCAGAGACACACCCAGAATGACATCTTATCATATGTCTATGTACCACGAGACTCAATCAAGTTGACACACAAATTAGTTATTACACACATTTATCTATGGGTAGAATTTTCAAGGTTATATGTTAATTCCATTTAACCTTTATTTTTTTCCCCTGGTGTCAGGGAACCCTGGGCTTTGTGCATGCTGAACATGTGCTCTGTGCTCAAACTACATCCCCGGTCCCTCTGTTTAACCATTTCAAGAACTGCCAGAGTGTGTTCCAAGTGGCTTCACCATCTTACATTCCCACCAGCAGTGTACGAGGGTTCCTACTTCATCAAAGTTGGTTCTCATCTGTATTGTTTTATCATCAACATCACAGAGGTAGTATCTCTTTGTGACTTTGATTTGCATTTCCACGACAAATACCATGTTGAACATTTGTTTGCATGGTCACTGGCCATTGATTTATCTTCTTTGAAGAAATGTCTCTTTGGTGCCTTTGCCTAAGGATTTTGACTGGATGATGCAGCTTTTAATCATTGGGTTACAAATGTTCTTAATATCCTGGAAGCAAGCTAACTTCTTACTACAGTCTCACAAAAGACCCCGAGACAAAGCTGGGGATGCTGGTACATGGTGGTAATCTCAGCATTCAGCAGGCTGAGGCAGGGTGGCTATGAGTTCAAGGCCAGCCTGGGGGTATATGGTGAGACTGTGTAAACCAAACCAAACTAAACCAAACAAAACCTCTCCTTAGTTGGTCATTCTGATACCCTCCTTTCAAGCTTACATTTGCCTTCACTTGAAATCATTTTATGCAAGTCATTGCAGAAATAAATAACTACTTACAAGAGAGGAATTGAAAAACATCAGAGAAAG